CACGTTTTCTTATCGAGTTGCGATCCCCAACCTCCTAGGACCCAAAGGGGTCAAGTGGATGGTGACAAACAAGCCGCAGCTGCAAGCTCTCAGCCAGTCTCGCCCTGATTGGCCGCCCCGGTTGATGCTTGATGCGGAGGTGGTCACCTTGTTGGAGAAGCGAGGAGCTGATTGCCGAGAGGGTGGGCGGATGGCACACTGATAACGACGAGGGGAGGAGGTGAGCTTTATCGCGACGCACCTTGGTGGTGTGCCCCTCGTCCCCCCCCCAGCCTTTGCTGGCCGGAGGGGTGTCCGTCTTTGAGCCATGGATGCCCCTCACCAGATACCGGCCCGTCATTGGCCTCGGGACCTGTCGCCATCCTGTGTCTGCAGCCATCGTGGTCACACCTGACTGCTCTTGTCAAGATTGACGTGCGGTGACACCATCAGCTCCATGCCCCATGCCGCTCCGGCAACCAAGACCGTTCCCCATGGCAGGAACCCGGGAAGGGGAAGGGGAAGGAGATAGGACGGGGCCCGGGGAATGATCGTCTGCGGGCAACGCTGCCCCCCGTGGCCCCCGCCCTGAAGAGAAGAGCTCCCGCAGCTTCCCTCCAGCTCCTCCAAAAGACAAGAGGCAAGAGGTCCCCGCGTGGCTGCGCGAGAAAAAGTCCCCTTATCTTGTTCTTGCTTGTCCCCGTGCTTGTGATCGTGCTCTCTTGTGCCTGCCAGCTCGAGGAAGGATGGTCCAAAGTTCTCTCTGAGCCTGGTCGTCTTTGTCTCTCCCCTTCTTCCCGACACTGAGAACTTCCCCTTGCCGAGACACTCTCACCCTCACTATTCTCGACAGCAACCGCCCCTCGTCAACGTCGAACCCCTCGCCCCTCGTCGAACCCCTCGCCCCTTGTTGAACCCCTCGCCCCTCGGCGAGCACCACCCCCGCCAGGATCTTTTCGGCGGGAGCTACCCTTGACAAGATCCAGCACCCGCAACCTACCTTACGTACCACCTCTACCTCCACCTTCACCATGCGTCTCTTCACCACCACAGCCACAGTGCTGCTGCTTGGGCTCAGCTCGGCACAGTCTTCCACCGAGCACGTCTGGTCCTCGGTGGCCTGGATCCTCCATGGCGAGAGCACCCCCATCTGGGGCATCACCCCCTCGCCCGCCCTGACCCCTATCGGCGCGCAACAAATGTTTGCCCAGGGCTCTCTGTTGCGGTCGCGGTATCTCCAAAACCTCATCGAGCTTGATGAGCAGGCCGGCCGCGCCCCCATTGTTGGCATTGAGAGAAATGCCATTGACAACACCCAACTCAACATCCTGACCAACACGGACGAGTTCATGGTGACGAGCGCCCAAGCCTTTGCCCAAGGCCTCTACCCACCCCTTCTGCAGACCTTCTCGGACAGTACCGGCGGCATAGAGGGAGCAATGCTTCCCAATGGCTCCACAGTCAACTACCCCTTGGGCGGATACCAGTATCCAAGTATTCGGACATATTCCATCCTGGATCATGAGAGTATCTGGTATGTCAAGTTCCACGCGGGAAGCCATTTCCGCTAACCAGTCCACAGGGTCCAGGGTCATGTTGGCTGTCCGGCCTATACAGAGTCCATCCTCAACTTCAGGAACGACTCTGTGGTCTCGACAATGTACGAAAGCACCCTTCCGTTTTACACCAACATGTGGGACTCGCTCCTGAGCAAGGCCTTCCCGCAATCCATGGCCAACTTTGCAAACGCATTCCTGCTGTACGACTACGCCTTGTACCGATACAACCACGACAACGAGACGCGCAACAGCGTCTCTCTCGCGGAGATGGCGCTGATGGCCAGGTTCGCCTCGACCGAGCAGCGGGCCAAAAATGCCGACCTGTCCGTCTCAGGTACAAGTGAAGGCGACATGATCCGCGCCATCGCTGGCCGCACCATGGCCTCCAAGACACTGGCACTGTTTAGGGAGAATATGCGCCAGGGTGGGGCCATCAGGAAGCTCAACCTCGCCTTCACCACGGTCGAGACATTCGTCGCCTTCTTTGCCTTGTCGGGCCTGGTCACAGGAGACCACGCCGCCGAGTTCAAGCCCCTCCCCGAACAGGGTGGCATGATGGTCTTTGAGCTGTTTTCCATCGGGGGCAACTCGACAGTATACCCTAGCACCGATGATCTCTGGGTTCGTTTTCTCTACCGCAATGGCACGGATCCGACAGACAAGCTCCAGGACTTTTCGCTATGGGGGGCGAAGGAGACGAGAATGCCCTACAAGACATTTGCTAGCGCCATCCAAGGTGTTGGCATCAACACAATTGCCGATTGGTGTCGAACGTGTGGGAGTTATACGCTGTTCTGCAGTGGCTTGAAATCGACTGGGAAGGGGGGCCGGGAACCTGTGGCTAGGCCGGGCCTCAGTCCCGCCGTTGGTGGTGTCATTGGTGCCGTCGTGACGATCGCCGTTGTCGGACTCGGGCTGCTGGCTGCCATCTTGCTGGGAGGGTTTCGGTTTCGTCGTGATGGCGAGGCCAAGAGGACTAGCTCATTTGGCGGCTTCAAGGGTGCCGAGAAGATGACGAGCGATACTGACCTCGCATTTGCCCGAGGGGGAGCCAGACAGGAGCGTACCGGAAGTTGGGAGCTTCGCGGTGAGGGCAAGAGCGATGGTAGTGTTCACGAGCAAGCCATCATCCCCACAGAGAGGCCGACCAGCACTGGCGCAGTCAGCACATCGGGACTGACGATCGAACCGAGACGCCTTACCCACCCCCTTCAGGGGGTGGATGACGATGCCATCAGCGAGGTCGGGCAGCACCCGGTGAAGCCGCGGGAGTTTTAGTGGCATCGGACAAGAAGGTTGGGCCGGTCGTACGGCGACGGAATATGACGTGGGCAATGCCGGGGACAGGGCAGCAGGAGTTGTGGTAGTTTTATCGACATGAGCTGAGGAATTTCCTTCACTCCATTTCTGGCATTCTCTTGATACCCCCCTTTTTCTTGTCAACAGTGGTTGCATGGTGTGTGCTCAATATACATATGTCGGATGTGTCTTTGCCAATGTTCGTGCCTTCAGGATCGTGACTTGACATTGTGACAACACCACCAGAGCGAGTAGACCTACAGCTGGAGGGCTTTCGGCACCGGAACTCTCGAGCGTGCGGCGCCGAGACGGCTCGGCACTGGAACTCACGAGCGTGTGGCGCCGGGAGGGGTCTCGGCACCGGAATAGCGTTGGGAGGGCTTTTGGCACCGGAACTCGCGGGCGTGCGGCGCCGAGACGTCTCGGCACCGGAACTCACGAGCGTGCGGCGCCGGGAGGGATCTCGGCGGTCTCGGCACCGGGAACCCGCAAGCGTACGGCGCCGGGAGCTCGGTATCGGACCTCACGATCGTGCCACAACGGGAGGGATCTCGACACCGGAACTCGCGCGCGTGCGGCGCCGGGAGCTCGACCGGGAGCTCGTGGGAGTGGCACGACGGGAGGGGTCTTGGCACGGGAACTCGGGAGCGTGTGGCGCCGGGATCTCGGCCGGGAGCTCGGCACGGGAGCTCGCGAGAGTGCGGCGCCGGGAGGACTCCCCCTCGGGCAAGATAGGTAGGCACCCGGGGAAATTTTGGCTGCCGCCGCCGAGCCCGCCGAGCCCCTGGCGCCCACGTCACCCACAGTCGCCTAAAAATTCGGCGACACAGGCGGTGTCCTGCCTCGGCGACCACCGTTTTACCGGTCGTGGGCCAACTGATCAAGGGATGATTGAAAGACATCCAAAGGACATCGATAACTCGCGAGATGAAATCCGCCGTGAGGCAGGTCGTCCCAGGCTCCCAGTCACGGCAGGGGGGCCAAGTATGTGTACCTCGGTCGCTTGCCTCTTTACCCTGGTGCTTTATGATCTTGTCCTAAAACACATTTTCAAACGTGGCAAATTTCGTGCCGAGGACAGCATCCGGCTCGGTGACGGCGGACAGCCAGGCGGTCTCATCCCCCGACCCCCCTTGATTATCGCGAGCATACTGCTGAGTACAGGTAGGTATCTAGGCACCGGAACTCGCAAACGTGCGGCGACGGGAGGGCTCTCGGCACGAGAATGGCGTTAGGGGGGACTCGACGAAACGGCGGCGACGGTCATTGATGTCATCAAGCAGAGCCGCTGTCAACGGTACGCACCGCCTCTTTAAGGCGTGGATCAGATCGGCAACGGTACCTACCGGATTCACCGACACGCTGGCGCTGCGAACCAGGGTCTTTCGGATCAGACGGTGCCCCAAGAAGGGCGACGATATAGGCCTCCGCGATTTCTACCGGACGCCTATCGGCGATCTTCCCATCTACCAACTGGGAGCGCTGCTGGTCCAGGCCAAGGCGACCTACACTGGCGGACGCTGCCAGAACTGCGACTACTGGCCCGATGCCAGCATCATCACACCTTTCCCGGGATGTAGTGGTGTAGCCGGGCACGGCGGGCGAAGGGCGGCTAGACTTGACAAAGGGTGATGTCGCACGACGTAGCTCACTCCCAGGGCGGCGCTGGCACCAAACACGGTGATATCTGGCAGTCAATCGTCAAACTTGAAGGAACTACATTCGTTTTTTGCTTAGAAGTTGAGACATTTCTCTGTTCCCGTCGTCGTAAAAACGACAGGTACCTATTAAGGCGTGTGGCGCGGAGAGTGGCTCGATTACATTGGGGAGTTAAAGGCGTATTCTAGGACGTGCTCGGTGTCTTCTCATTGTCCACGAGCAAGGCGGTGTTATGTTCGGCCGTGGTTGTCGTGGGCCAGAGTTTGTGCCCCCCAGCCCGAAAAACAGCTTCACCAGAATGATGGACAAGGACGACAAAGTTGGGGGGAGGCGATGGGCATGATCGCACACAAGAGCCACACACTGGAGGTGAGAGGGGCGATGCATTCTGGGCCAGGGACGACGTGACGAGTTTCGATCAAGACAGTGACTCGAGTCATACCACCCCCACGTTGGCATCCACAAGAAATACAATAATGATCCATGCAATATCAACATCAATACGGGCTATTGGTCTAGTGGTATGATTTTCGCTTCGCATCTTCATTTCTGCATCATCTGCAAAGATCATGTGGGAGAGATACGTCCTGTGAAAGGTCGCCGGTTCAATTCCGGCATAGTCCATTCTGTTTTGTACTTATAGTCCATTCTGTTTTGTACTTTAGGTCAAACACTTGATGTATTTCATTTTGCCATTGTCTGCACTGCGACAATTGTTTTCTTTTTTACAGAGAAGGGGGTTGGGATACCGCATTTTCTGAGTTACAAGAAACCACCACTATCCCGCATTCGGCCGCCCGGAAAATTGGGTTTCCCCAGCTTTTTTCAACAACCACAGAACTAAGAAATATATAAAAAATACGATGAAAGAGAGCTGCTTCGTGGCATCAGCTTCATACTATTTTTGAATATTTTTACTTCGTAGCGCTAAGATAGTTTTGTTTTGGGGGAGGAGGGGACCAATCCGAAAGACTCGCCCGAGGCAGAGGGAAGCGCCAGATAGCCAATGATAGCAGGCCGTCCGCCCAATGCGGGATGGTGGTGGTTTCTTGTAACTCAGAAAATGCGGTAGTGTCTGCAAAGACTGCAATGTCGCCCCTTTTTACTTGGCGATGGTCGGTTTCAGGGGGTGTAAACAAACCGCCACGCTGCATGTCAAGGACTCAACCACACCTCTCCAGCTGGATAAGAGCAATGGCGATATTACTTGGCATTATTTCAGAATCTCTAACAAACGAATCCATCCCGAGCCTCTCAACATGTTGTCCAGAAATTCCCGTCAAACTATCAAAATGCAAGATTGACTTGGAAACGCCGGAGGAATTTGATGGTAAGAAGAAACCGGTCCATCCAAGGCAACTACACTCCTGTCATCGAAACATACACTGGGAAGCATGTAACCGAAATAGTAGTATTAATAGGTACCTTCCCCCCCCCCCCCCCCAGGCGTCTTCATCCTCCAACTTTCTCAAACCATCAACCAGATATAATTTTCAGTCATCATCATCCCGCAATCATAAGCCTTCATCACTTCATCAACATGATCCAAACTCACGGAACAGACTCCCCGTTTCTTCTCAACCACCCTGGCCACACACTCCCAAAGTCCTTTCAAAGGTCTTAGTAGGAGTGATTGCAAGCCGGCTCAGTCGGAGGTGGAGTTCGGCATAAAGACAAAGCACGACGCCCGTTCCATGGCCATGGCCCAAGATCCCGGATGACGCGACGCAGGCAACTAAGATGGACAATTCTCCCACCGGGACCCTCCCCGCCGTCGCGACCTCGCCCGTGCCGAGCTGGGGAGAGTCTCCACCACCGCGCCAGCCATGGCTGCCGGTCCAGAGAGTGCGGCAACCGAGGAGAGAGGGGGGGGCGGTTGTTCGCGCCTTTACATATCGCCGTAGCGATAGTAGTAGTCCCCGTCCTCCTGCTTCACAATCTACCTAGTTCTCATACTTTACGACCACCTCAGCCTTCTTGTCCGCCTCCTGCTCCTGGTCCTCGTCGTCCTCGTCCAAAGTTCTTGGTCCTGCCCCACCCGCAATAGCCGTAATCCGTATCAAGGCCCACTGCAGCTCGAAAGCCCTCTTCATCTTCTCGGCATCGGCCGTCTCGACGGACCACTCGAAAATATCGCCCGTCATGACGGGATGACAGGGCCGAGACGGGTTACCCAGCGCTATGCGACAGGCGGGGTACCGCCCTCCTGTCTCTGCTGCTGCTTGCGGCCTCGTGTGGATCTCGTTAAGTCGATCCTTGAGCTTGTCCAAATCTCGCTGGAGAACCGCCGAGGGCCACGAGGTGCCCGCCTCCTTCAACAACACAAAGTAGGTACGTTGGGTGCAGCAAGCCGACCTGCCGCTTTTGCGAGCTCGCTGCGGTCACTGTGCTGTTTACTTCGGGGGCTCGTTTTCCCCTCGTCGCGGGACTGCTGACTTTGTCGGACTCGAGGTGCCACAATCTCTTTCGCTCGATGTCTTCCATCCTTGCATCCAGAACCTTGAATTGCATGGCCATGCTTTTTTCGAGGGTCAATAATGTTGTTCTGACCCGAGTGCGATCCCGATCCTCGGTTCCGGGCTCCGGGCTTCTCGGGGCCCGTTGGCTTGGTGCCCGACTGCTTGGGAACGCCAAAGTGTCGAGACCGCCGCTCCAAAGAGTGCGGCAACCCAAGACGTAGTATGCGATCATGCCCCTTCCCTCGTGTTTGAAGATGGCCTCGGCGGGAGCATTACTCTTGTTGGGGTTTCGCGGGGTCATCGAGCCGAGGAAGACACGGCGCCCGGATCTTCCCTCCACAGAAAAAGAATATCAACGTCAGATCGAGCTTCGCGCGACATGACCCGTTGCTCTCCCTGGGTGCGGGATCATTTGTGTGTGGGCGAGGAGCCATGGGAGTTGACGCTCTTGTGGTTCGTGAGAAGGGGGGGAAGGCTGCCTCTGCACGGTGTACCATTTTCCCCCCGAATGTATAGGTGTATGTCAAATATCACCCGCGAGTAGAGCACCAAAGTGTCGAGAGAGGTCGGTGATGTTGAATTCCAGGTCGCCTGGGCTCGATGTCGTTTCCATGTGTCTGGACTTGTTGCTCCGATAGCGTCAGATGTCTTCCTCGAGGAGAATGCAATGCCCTTGCGTCTTTGTTGCTCTCACCGGACAACCTACATAGCTCGGGCAAGAAGAGGAAGAGGAAGACCAGGGACGATGTCACCATATACGCATGATGTCGAGATGAAAGTACCCGGGATCAGCAAGCACAAGGTCAACAAGCCTCTTGCCCCCATGGAAACCATCAATGCCAACCTCACCACCCTTTACCCGCCCCCCAGCACCTTCTCCCAGCATCATCACATCACACACACAGCACGTCACATCAGCCTGCATCAGTATTATCAAAATGTCAAATCGGTTTCAGGCCGCCCTCGGCCGACCCAGGCGCTTCCGTCCGCGCATCCTGGTATCCTGCTTCTCATCTACCCATACAAGAAAGAAATCCCACAAACACCAAAAAATCCCACACAGGTCCTGCACTCACCCCAAACGTGGGCGAGGCTTCGAAGCGCGACCAGCTGCCCAAGCGCGGCAATGTCCCCCCGAACACGTCCAACACCCAGCACAGCCGCCAGCGCCCCAGGCCCGGCCAGCACCCCCGACACGGCTGCCGACCGGGGAAAAAAAAGAGCCAGTCCCCCCTCCGTGACGCCTCCCATGCTTTGCCGTCCAATATGCCTACACAAAACAAAAACATTCCAACACGTGCCGTAGCCCCAGCGTCTGCCCAGGGTATAAAAAAGGATGATGGCGCCCCGCCATCGAAAAGAAAAGCCAGTCCCTGAGCAAACAAAAATAAAGAGGGCGGGCGACAGAACCCGAAATATCCCACAACAAAAAACTGCTCGTCGTTTCCATCCGTCCATCCATCTATCCGGGAAACAACCCCTCACAACTGCTCCAGTCCAAACTCCCCCTTCCACCCCCCATTCAGCAGCATCGCCGCGATCCTGCTCCGCTGCAGCGTCAGCTGCTGCTGGTTGTATGCGCCCTGCATCTTGATGCCGAGGGCCTGGCAGACGGCATTGGTGATGGTGAAGACGCCACAGTCATATCCGTTCGACTGATGCGGCGCCTTGTACTGGTGGACATGCCAGTCGTCCGCCACAAAATCATTCCCGAGCGTGACGCGCACCCACTCCATGATCTTGTCCTCAACCTCCTTGTGCCCCCCACCGTTGCGCATCGAGTCAATGTGCGCCACGATGCCGTCGCGCGGGCGCACCACCGCCAGCGTCCAGTGGCTGTGCTGGCAGATGGGGATGAGGATCGTGTCGATCGAGAGGAAGTTGGCCTTGCGGATATTGGCGTTGCGCATCATACGGTCGACCTTGGTGGGACCATGCTGCCTGAGGCGGTCGTAAAAGTACGAAGTGAAGGCGGCGCACTTTGGGTTTTGGGGTTCGGTTTTGGCCGCCTCATTGACCGCGGCGGCGACGTACTGAATCGAGCTGATGATGATGTTGTCGTTCAGCCACGCCGTGCTGGGGAGGAGCATCTCGACAAAGTCGCGACGGTCGAGGGAGCCTTCTGGTGTCTTGACGAGCTCGCCCCTGGGGTTGGCATTGCCGAGATTCTTGACCTTGCCCGCCCAAGCTTGGGAGAGCGGAGTGATGAGGGCAACCTTGGGGTTTCGCAAGCCCCCAGCTGCCGCGAGTTCGGCACGAAGACGGGCGGCTTCGGCCTCGGCGGCAAGGCGCGCCTTCTCCGCGGCTTCCCGCTTCTTGGTGGTGTGGATCTCGAGGGCAATGCTGTTGGCGTACTCATTCTTCATCTGCTGTGTCAACTCGAGATCTTCTTGCATCTTTGCTGAGATCTCCATCGATGGGTCCTCCTTGGAGATGTCAGCGCCATCCTCATTGTCGTTAACCAGATCATTGATGAACTGCCGTCTGGCTTTGGTTGAGATGTCGGCGCCTGGCGTCTTGTCGGGTGTCGGCTCTTGCTTGATGATGCGCGCGGCAGAAATCCTCGCGGCCTCTTTGGCGTAGTCAATGTTCAATGGCTGACGACCAATCTTCTTGGGCTCGAAGGGGATGGGCATTATGTGGTTATCCTCGATGAACTTGCGGCGCTCCTCCGGGGTGTCGAGCAAAGGCTTCCTTATAACCTTGTCCTTGGTCCGAGGGCTCAATGCAGGATTTTCCTTGAACGCCGCCAGCTTCACGCTCATATTCTTCTTCAGCTCATAGACGCGTTGCATCTCTTGCGCTCGCTTGTCCCTTGCAACCCTGTCCTCTGGCGTCGGCCGGGCAATGTCAACGGACGTGTTGGTGAACCTTGGCGCTCTGGGCGTCGGCCGCCGCGCCGCCATAGCTCGGCGAAACTCTTTCTGCAGCTTGACATTATCTTCTAGTGTCTGCAGTAGGCCGCCGTACTTGTGGTGGAGCTGTCGCAGCTGGAGGTCATCCTCGGCCCGTTTGACGCCCTCCTTGCCCAAAGTCTTCCGCTCCGCGGGTTTCAGGACCCGGCCTGGTTGGTAGGTATTGCGGGCAACCTTGACGATGGGGTTGACGAAACTGAGCTTGCGGGACTTCATGGGCGTCCTGACGTACTGGGGCGACGCCACATGC